TGTAGAGTTAGTGAAAATGTTTGTGCAACAGTTAATTCTGCGAAATCGTGGTTACGCAAAATTATTTCACTGTTAGTGACTTCTGTATTTGTATGCAAAAACAGTGCAGCCATACAGAAAGTGGCGGATGCACCCTGAAATATTCTGCAGAAAGGGTATACCAAGTGTCTTTAGCCTCAACCTTTACAAGGCTGCGCACTCGTNATACAGAAAGTGGCGGATGCACCCTGAAATATTCTGCAGAAAGGGTATACTAAGTGTCATCCTTTAGAGGGCTGCGCACTCGCACAGAAAGTGTTCGATTGTCTCTTTTGAGCCATGGTCCTTACAGCTGCGGCAGAACCTATTGAAGTTTCAGACTGACCTGAGGTCGTAGTTATCTTCTTTGCTCATTCCCAGAGAGCTCTGCCGGGTAAACCTTTACGATGCTCTACGTTTCACCTATGTCTACCTTTCGAAAGAGAACTGTCGGCAATTCTGTCTTTGATCTCCCTGAGCGTGACACTCGTGTCCACCGCGTGATATACATTCAAAGCGGAGCCGCACCTCATTAGTGTGTCCGCTCGCTCGGTTCCATAAATGTCTCTAAAAAATTTCCTATTGATGGGAAATCGGCGCCAGACCTCTCCTACAGTAAGCCACTAGTTAAGGTATAACAAAGGCAGGAAGTATAGCGTTAGTTTAAATTACCCAATGAACACCCCTGCACTAACCCCACATTCCATCCGTGATCCATTCGTAAAGTCTGTTTGGCCCTCCAAAAACTGTACACTTCCTTGGATCCAATCACTGCGGCTTGGGAACTTTGTGGTAAGTTTGTGGTGAATCCAGGTCTTCGACAGGATTTAGTTAATGAGCAGAGCTTTAATTCTGCTTAGTCTTAGGATGTGGATCGGATTATGGTTCTTAGCTTTAATCCCCATCTATTGCCAAACATTCTCTTGGCTTTATGGAGAGCCACTGATCCTTTCCATGTGCGCTATTCAACGTTTACGAATACCAGATAATAAACTATTCTCCAACAATCGGAAATAAAAATCGTTTCCATTTCCTAAACAACTAAATATTTGGATATTCACTTCCCGTACGCTTTTATTCCTAAACACTTTGAGTCCTTTTCTGACTACAGTTGTTTTCGTGCACTTCACTAGCTCGAACTTCTCAACGTCACCTGCAACTATGTATATGAGCTTAAAGTAAATACGTATATCAACAACACCGTCTGTGGACATTTATACATTTTAATTTGCGGTTACTTTGTTTCTGAAAATAATTGAAGTATCCTCCTATATACATTTAATTTAACTTAGCTCATTAATTTATTTTTAGCAGGAAAAACTAATTAGGATCACTGTAAGAAGTCACTCGCTGAGCTGTGCAAATGACATACATATGTACGTACAGATTGAAACGAAAATTAAATGCACGAAATAGCAAAAAGTAGTCATAACAAAATAGCAAAAATTATGCAAAGGTGGTAAGGTGAACGCTAAACAAGCCAAATTTCACTTTTAATGTGTGCAGCGCATCGCGCACATTAATTGAGCAGAGATGTCAAAAAAAGATAATTTACATTATCCGCAGATTTATGATGTATGCGGCGTGTAGACAATGAGCTTCTGGCGTAAATTATTTTCCCCTTATATTTATATATACTTTCTTTGTGAAACGTGATTTTTTTTTTGTGGTAAAAACTAAAACCATTAATTTAAATTTATTTTTGTGCAATAATTGCATGAAATATTTACGTATGTACATTAGACTGCATCTCCAAAAAACGTTGTGGTCTTTCCGCCAGAATTACAAAATGTATTATATTTAAAGACGTTCACCAAAATTTTTCGGTAAAACCCGATTTGAAATCCAAAAATGGAGTTCTTTATGAATAAAAATAGTTTCTTAAAGAATTTTTTGAAAAAAAATTCCCTCGGATGACAAGACAGATTAAGCTTAAAAAATCTGCATAACAATATTTTAAAAATTTTCAACGGAATCGCAATAATGAGATTTTTGATGCTGCTTTTTAACTTTGAATAAAACTATTCCGATTATCGGGTATCAGGAAAGGTATTTTCCCACACTTCTGCGAATGAGACACGTCCCATTTTTTTTTTCCAAATACCAACACATCTTAATTCAACTTGGAATGACACCCATTCACCTTACCTTTCTCCTTCCTCCTTTGGAGGAGTTTTTTATCAAAGAAATAAAAAGGGTGAGCAAATAAATTTACACTGATACCTCACAAGTCTTAATCCGAATAGCTTATGTTCAGTTATGCAAGTTTTTCTTATCCCAATCTTTGAAAAGAGTTAAAAAACAGCATCAAAAATCTAATTATTACGATTCCTTTGAAATTAAAAAAAAAAAAAATTTTATTTTTTTTTTTAATACTTTTATGCAAATTTTTTGAGCTTAAATCGCTTTGTCATTTGAGGGAATTAAAAAAAAAATATTTTAAGTAACTATTTTTATTCATAAAATCTCCAATTTTGGAGATATTTCCAAATCGGTCCAGCACACGTAAATGCTAATACTTTTCCGAAATATTTTGGTGGAAGTCTTAAAATATAATAGATTTTATAACTCCAATGGAAAGACAGTACCGATTTCTGTTTTTTTTGGTATGGGGAGTGATGCAGTCTAATGTACATACATACATATGTATGTACATACACATAACAGCGAATAGTGCGACCTTTCAACGTCGCGACATGCCGTAAAAACGAGAAGCATAAATTTTCTTACACTCAGTCGCTTTTATGGTTATTCGCAAGAATTTTCCGCACGATTATTTTAATGATAAACTGATTTAATTGAGTATACATATGTAGATATATACATAAATTTTGGTCTTGGTCTGGCAAGAAAATTACTGCTGTAGAAAAAAAACCATAGAATCTTTTAACTCAGTTCCATGGCGCGAAAATCGCTCGTTGGCTGGACGCGTGGCTTAACCCAAATAAATTCATTGGAGCAATTGATGAGCAGTATGGAGTATATTTTGCAACTTAAGTCAGGTGGCAGCCCTACGTGGGGCCCATTTGGATATTTTCGAATGTTTTCCATTGTACTACCACTAAGTATTTAGATTATTAATGGATCGGTAAATGCATGTAACTCTTACAAAATTGCGAACAGCGCTGGTAGTGTAAGAGTAGTGCAGAATAGACCTGTAAGCGTCAAAAAGAAGATACGTGTTTTTGAATTTTCCGATGTCAAGGGCTTTATAAAATTCTATGTTAACTTTACTGCTAAAGTTTAATTTATACTGCCAATAAGAGTTATTTGTCTTCTCTTAAAGTAATGCCTCTGAGCGTTTTAAGCACTTTGTTGCGGTTCAGCGGTTGAGAGGAGCACACTGCCTGCTTTAGCTGACAGCTGTGCAGGATCGAACCGGTAGTTATAATTTCTGAGCGTTATTAAGCTCCTTTGAAGACTTTTGATAAGCAGTGAATTTATTTTATTTCCCCGCGAAGACGGAAAAAGAGGAAAGTCCATTAGAGTTCGCGTGTTAACGAATAGATTCCGCCATGGAGTTAATGTGATTTGTGTAAATAAGCGCTAGGTGGAACGATCAAGCAGTGGATTAGTCCATAAACCAGAAAACTACCCTCATACTTAGATTTGTATATGAAAGCAGCTATAGTACTATATTACTAGCCCCGACTAATATATGTAGAGGGGCCATCAATAAATATGTCTATTAAGTGATGGCCCTAAATTTCGAGTAGTTATACTTGGGGTTCTAATATTAATATATATGTATAATATTAGCAATTCTTTGAGGCTTTGAATTTATTTTTTAAATATTTTTTTTTTTCAGACCTGTTATTATTAACTATAATTATAGCCTTTAGTTCCGAAAGAAAGAATAAAATAATGGTGCGTTTGATTTTAATACCAGCACTGACTTTTGGTCAATTGTACTAATCGCGTATTGTTGTAGAATTTACTAAAGCAAATGCTGTATATAATTACGGGATTTATACGTTGGCACAGTTATGGTATATACCTATATATCTATATTTTTTTGTTTCGCGTTCATAACTTGCCATTTGCATAGCAAATTGCAAAAGTTAGAAATGCGAAAATTTGCATTTTACTTCTTTTTCACTTTTCCGCTTGAACATCAGCTCATTGTGGATCGCACGTTTAGGCGACTAGCAACCATCATAATTACGAGTATGTATGTGAGCTGCCGTTGGCCTGTGGGTGTTTGCTTGGCAGTCAACCTGACGGCCGCAAATTACCAAAGGCGTCGCTTGAGTTTCCATCAATTTAATTGCTTCTGTCAAAGTGTAGATTTTTTTTAACGTTCATTTTTTGTTGAGAACCCATTTCCATACCACCGCCAAAAGTCAGCCAGCCAGCTATTATTCGCTTGCCGACTTGTATTGTTTTCTTTTGTTTTTGCCTGTTGGTTCGTGCTCGCTGTTATGCTATTTATTGAGCACTTACTTGTGTACATATTTTTATTTTCCTCCTTTTACTATTTATTTTTTTCTTTTCCACTTGTTAATAGCATCCGTTGCGGGTTTAAGGTCATTAAAAATTTATGAAAACTCGGAATTAGCATAATTAAATGTAAATAAGCGCATTTCCTGTATCGATTTTTGCAGTCTGTTTTATATTTACGCTATCAGTGGAAAATTGACTTTTTAAAATGGCAATTTATTTGCACACATATACGAAGTACTACAATAATTTTAACGCACCTATTTGCTGCTGTAAAATTTCGTTTTAATTAGAGCTGCGCAGACGTAGCTCGAGTTTCATAAAAATTTAAAATTCCATATAGAAACATACCTACCTATATTAAGTCCGTTTTTTGCACACGCAGCACGCCGTAAGCGATTGTTTGTGTGACAGTCTCAGCGCCACTTGTAGCGGTGTAGTCGCGAGAGCGTATGCCAGTGTAGCTGCATATTTAGACACCAATTTTTATTATTATATACATACAAATTATTTACAGTCATTTTATTTTTTGTCTTTCGCAGAATTTTTAAGATGACAACCCCGTCTGCCCAAGCCGACGTTAATCTGCTGCACGCTTCCGTTCTTTCAATGGTCGAATTCGATGATGATATTTTCGCTGCTGGCAATTGCTTCGACTGGAATGAACATCCGGCTCAAACGGGACTGTTTTGTCCTTTTGCCTATCGCCTGCCAGCGCCGAACTTAGGCGCGATCCTCGCCAAGGACTTATCCATGGAGTATCACTATCTCGGCAACACGTCCGAATGGTTTTTTCAGGCACGTAAAAATGCTTGGAAGGTGATAGCGCGCAACGAACAGTATCTTAAATGTGAGTAAATTTTAAAGAAACATAACAAAGATATCTTGCAGTTCAGAGAGAAAATTTAAGCTATTAAGCAACACAAATTAGTTATAAACTGATGAAGGTACCAAGATGACGCCTATGTGTATGTATGATTTGAAGTTCATTTAATTGCTTACGATAATAGGTTACTTTAGGTTAGTTTAAGATGTCTTGATTTCATAGGTAGATTTGCACTGAAAATACAAAATTTATTATCCTTTGTGTTCCATTTAAGAGAGCGGAAGGATATAAAGCATAGCTTTACATGTAGTTGCATACATGCAGAAATAATTAAGTTTAAAAATGCTTATGTTCGTATGTAAAACTTTTTTTATGTTCTTTAACTATTTACTATATTTTCGTTTGCAAATACATGTATTGCAATTACACTCTTACGCAGATCAGATATTTATGTATATATGTAACTAAGTACGTACATTAGGAATGTTAATCCCTGGATCCCGGCCTCTGTTAGGTCCCGAAAATCTCGCGATTATCTGCCAAGAATCCCGGAATTTGTAATCTGCACTGGTGGCAATAATAGAATCTCCTTTTGTTGACCCGTGATGGCTATATTTCTTTTTTCATTTAATAATTTATATTTTTTTATAAATTTCCAGCTCGTTATATGTATGTATGCAATAGTCCATTTTACACACAAAAAAATCAATATATTAAAATTAGTAAAATTGCGTCTTTGGTTTTTCACTTTGACATCAGTAATTCAAAAATACTTTAAAAAAAATCAGTGAAATGTGCTTACAAAAAAAGTATGGATATCAAATTAAAGAGAAAATTCAGTAGGATTGAAACAGATTCAATTTTTCAGTGCGCAAGAACCAGTGAGTATTGAAAAGATTTTATCCTTGAATATACTTGAAATTTTGCAATATTTATTTATGAAAAAATTATATGTTAAGAAGTTATATAAACCCGAAAATAAACTCGAATTTCGTCCTTCTACCTTTATCATCTTAAAAAATTACCTATGCGTCCTTGTGAAACCAAAAAATTTAAATTTTTTAAATTCTAAAGAAATTTCCTCTTTCCTGTAGTATCAATATTTTTAAATACTCTACATTGCACTGAATTTTTTTTAATTATTTTTGGAATCAATCATATCTTTGAAATTACAAAATTCTAAAAAAATAAATCTTGACCTCAGAGAGAAAAACTAAAAACTATATTTGGCCCATGGTTTGACTAATGTGTTATATGTACATACACATACAATGAGGTAGATATTTATAAAAAAAAATTTTAACATTAAATAAAAAAAGGAGTTTCCTTTACATCTGCCATTAGTATTGTGACCTTTGTTGGGCATACCTTAATTTACTTTATCAGATATGTACACGCTAAAGTATTATTAAAAGCATATACATTAAAGTACCTTCTTTTGTTTTGTTGCTTATGAAATAATGTTCACTTTAAAAAAAAAAAGTGAGCAAAAAAGCGAAAAACTTAACATCCCTAATGTACATACTATACGCATGGATTTACATCTTTCGTACTTTCATTAAAAGAAGTTTGTGCAGAAACTTTTACTTTATTTACCCACAAATAAACGCACTTAACACACGGATTTTTAATAAAGTACTTATATTATGAAGATTTTTAATTAAAAGGCCATGCTTGCTGCCTGGCTAAAGAGGACGTGGGTCAAAAGAAGCAAAAATTAAGTATATTTTATTAAAAGTCATAAACAAGTTGAAAGAAGCAAAAGCCTCAAACTAAGCTGCACACAGTTACGCATGTATGCATTTGTAAGCGTGTGTGTGAATATGATTTTTTTTTGTGCGTTTAAAATGCAGCTAATTGCATTTGTGTGTGCGCTTTGAATGCAGGTAAATTTAATTTAAAAATCGCTTTCTACTCACACAGCAAAGTTTGACCAAATTGTATTTTTCCTGTTTTTTTTACGTTTCTTTTTCCTTTGCCTTGCCTTTGAGCGTACACTCGTAGTAGTGTTGATGATGCTGCTACTGCTGTGTTGATCAGTTACCATGGCAGTGCAGTTTTATGTTGTTTTTCTTTTCTGGTTGCTACAAAGCAGTAAGCAGCTCACTTGCTTACGTGCATATTCACTTGTTATTTAGGTAGGTTGTATATTTATTACGGTGGTCCAAAAATGAATGTGAAAAACTAAAGTCGGAATTTTAATGCCCCCCTAGGATTGTGCTATACCGGAAAACAATTAAACCCATGTTTTCTTATTTTGGAATCAACAAAATATTTAAAATAATAAAAAAAATAGTTTTCGAAGAAATATTATAGAATTCTTGAAAATCAATATTTTTCGATCGAAAGAGTTTTTTCTCCTCAGGAAACTGCCAATATTTAAACCCAACCATTGCGTTTTTGTTTAGTTTTTGGGGGCACTATAAAAAAAATAATAGAAATGGTTAAATAAGCATAAGGGTGGTGTTACTTGAAGTCTGCTGAAGAGAAGCAAAGTTTTCGGATTGAAAAATATTGATTTTTAAGAATTTTATACCATTTCTACGAAAACATGTTTTTTTCCATATAAAATACATGGAAAAGTTTGAGCTCTTTGAGCGACTTCTAAATATTTTTTGATTTCAAAATAAAGAAAAACGGTTATAGTTTTTTTAGTATAGAACAATCCTAGGGGGTGAGCGTATCAATATTTCGACTTAATTTTTTTTTACCACCCTTATATGCATACACACATATGTATGTGCAATTTTAACNTTTATTTACCCACAAATAAACGCACTTAACACACGGATTTTTAATAAAGTACTTATATTATGAAGATTTTTAATTAAAAGGCCATGCTTGCTGCCTGGCTAAAGAGGACGTGGGTCAAAAGAAGCAAAAATTAAGTATATTTTATTAAAAGTCATAAACAAGTTGAAAGAAGCAAAAGCCTCAAACTAAGCTGCACACAGTTACGCATGTATGCATTTGTAAGCGTGTGTGTGAATATGATTTTTTTTTGTGCGTTTAAAATGCAGCTAATTGCATTTGTGTGTGCGCTTTGAATGCAGGTAAATTTAATTTAAAAATCGCTTTCTACTCACACAGCAAAGTTTGACCAAATTGTATTTTTCCTGTTTTTTTTACGTTTCTTTTTCCTTTGCCTTGCCTTTGAGCGTACACTCGTAGTAGTGTTGATGATGCTGCTACTGCTGTGTTGATCAGTTACCATGGCAGTGCAGTTTTATGTTGTTTTTCTTTTCTGGTTGCTACAAAGCAGTAAGCAGCTCACTTGCTTACGTGCATATTCACTTGTTATTTAGGTAGGTTGTATATTTATTACGGTGGTCCAAAAATGAATGTGAAAAACTAAAGTCGGAATTTTAATGCCCCCCTAGGATTGTGCTATACCGGAAAACAATTAAACCCATGTTTTCTTATTTTGGAATCAACAAAATATTTAAAATAATAAAAAAAATAGTTTTCGAAGAAATATTATAGAATTCTTGAAAATCAATATTTTTCGATCGAAAGAGTTTTTTCTCCTCAGGAAACTGCCAATATTTAAACCCAACCATTGCGTTTTTGTTTAGTTTTTGGGGGCACTATAAAAAAAATAATAGAAATGGTTAAATAAGCATAAGGGTGGTGTTACTTGAAGTCTGCTGAAGAGAAGCAAAGTTTTCGGATTGAAAAATATTGATTTTTAAGAATTTTATACCATTTCTACGAAAACATGTTTTTTTCCATATAAAATACATGGAAAAGTTTGAGCTCTTTGAGCGACTTCTAAATATTTTTTGATTTCAAAATAAAGAAAAACGGTTATAGTTTTTTTAGTATAGAACAATCCTAGGGGGTGAGCGTATCAATATTTCGACTTAATTTTTTTTTACCACCCTTATATGCATACACACATATGTATGTGCAATTTTAACCCACATGCATCGCACCCCATATTAATAAGGGCTGTCGAGCATCGACGTCATAATGACCTCAATCCGGTGATTATGACGAGCGATATCTCGAAATCGTCTTGGAGGCTATTTAAATATATTCTAGACAATCTATTTATGGAAGTCACGATAACTGCGGCATATAGGTCGAACCGGATTAAAATGCCGCATAATTGAAAATGTCATGGGTCCCTGGAGATTCTACTGGGCATCCGAGGGTTAAACAAATTCTTGACACGCATCAACGATTTTCATGATTGTTATAAAGTGGACAATTTTATTTTTGTTATATTTTTTCTTTGTATCACAACTTTTATTTATCTTTGCCAAAAATGGTTCTAATATAATCAAAATGTTTATCTTGTGTTCACTTCAAATACTAATAGCTGGCTTAACGCAAAATATAATTTCATATATTAAACGAAGTTCTCTGAAGTGTTAAAATAATTGCGGTTTTCGGTTTCACTTTTAGTTCTCATAAATAAGTATTTTGCCTCTTTGCCATGAACCTGATGATTTACTGTAATCCATTGGCAATGCTCAGCCAGATTTATTACGCACTCTGCTTTTATTAAAAGGGAAAGAAGTAATAATTACCAACAGCGAAACAAAAACAAATAAAAAGAGTACTTTGGCGCTCAAAGGCAACAGTTAAGCAGCGGTAACCACATTTTCCTATAGTAACCTTATACTGAAATTTTAACTTCAGCTAATCTTGCTTCTCACTTTCAAGAGAATAACCATTAGCTGTGAAACAGCAAACATGCGGTCTTATTTTTCCCTTCATAACAGCTATCACCTTCCCCCTTTCCAAATAACTGGCAGGCACTTAACTACAAAGTGGTAGTTTGATTATTTTACCTTTTCTTGATTTCCCCTTAAGTTTCACTTCTATTTAATTAAGTTACACTATTAGTCATTTGAATAGCGCACCCTTCTGATCCTCAGTATGCATGGTTTTCTTTTTGTTTGCTTAATATGCATTAATTTTTTATAAAAATGTGGCATATTCTACAACAAAAAAGTATATATCCGATTCTAAAATTTTATACAAATTTAAAAAAAAAGTTTAACAAAAGGAGCCCG